CTCACACCCCTGACAGACAGCAGACTGAGATAACAGACAGCAGACAGACAGCCGGACAGCAGACAGACAGATAACAGACAGACAGACACCCGGACAGCAGACAGAAAGATAACAGACGGACAGCAGACTGACAGATAACAGACAGACAGACAGCCGGACAGCAGACAGAAAGATAACAGACGGACAGCAGACTGACAGATAACAGACAGACAGACAGCCGGACAGCAGACAGAAAGATAACAGAGGGACAGCAGACAGAAGGACAGCAGACAGAAAGATAACAAACGGACAGCAGACAGAAGGACAGCAGACAGAAGGACAGCAGACAGACAGAAGGACAGCAGACAGACAGAAGGACAGCAGACAGACAGAAGGACAGCAGACGGACAGCAGACAGACGGACAGCAGACAGACGGACAGCAGACAGACGGACAGCAGACAGACGGACAGCAGACAGACGGACAGCAGACAGACGGACAGCAGACAGACGGACAGCAGACAGACGGACAGCAGACAGACGGACAGCAGACAGACGGACAGCAGACAGACGGACAGCAGACAGACGGACAGCAGACAGACGGACAGCAGACAGACGGACAGCAGACAGACGGACAGCAGACAGACGGACAGCAGACAGACGGACAGCAGACAGACGGACAGCAGACAGACGGACAGCAGACAGACGGACAGCAGACAGACGGACAGCAGACAGACGGACAGCAGACAGACGGACAGCAGACAGACGGACAGCAGACAGACGGACAGCAGACAGACGGACAGCAGACAGACGGACAGCAGACAGACGGACAGCAGACAGACGGACAGCAGACAGACGGACAGCAGACAGACGGACAGCAGACAGACGGACAGCAGACAGACGGACAGCAGACAGACGGACAGCAGACAGACGGACAGCAGACAGACGGACAGCAGACAGACGGACAGCAGACAGACGGACAGCAGACAGACGGACAGCAGACAGACGGACAGCAGACAGACGGACAGCAGACAGACGGACAGCAGACAGACGGACAGCAGACAGACGGACAGCAGACAGACGGACAGCAGACAGACGGACAGCAGACAGACGGACAGCAGACAGACGGACAGCAGACAGACGGACAGCAGACAGACGGACAGCAGACAGACGGACAGCAGACAGACGGACAGCAGACAGACGGACAGCAGACAGACGGACAGCAGACAGACGGACAGCAGACAGACGGACAGCAGACAGACGGACAGCAGACAGACGGACAGCAGACAGACGGACAGCAGACAGAAGGACAGCAGACAGAAAGACAGCAGCCAGACGGACAGCAGACAGACGGACAGCCAGACAGACGGACAGCCAGACAGGAGGACAGCCAGACAGGAGGACAGCAGACAGGAGGACAGCAGACAGGAGGACAGCAGACAGACGGACAGCAGACAGACGGACAGCAGACAGA